ATATATTCTAACCCTTCAATTTTATTTTAATTTTTTCTAAATTGATCTAATAATAAAGTGTAACACACACCTCCATCTCAATGAATATTGAAATATCATAATCTTTCTCTTTCAATAGTTCTTTCTAACTGTTCAAATTAATTATTTTTTCTTTCAATATAATATATATGATAAAGTTCCACACTAACTATATTTTTTTCCGTGATGATAAAATAAAAGGCATTAAAAGTCTTTTTTTTTACAAATCTTAATTTGATAGCTTCTGTTTTTACAAATCTTAATTTGATAGCTTCTGTTTGAGAATTTTTTTCCCATTTAAAAGGAATATATATATATATATATATATATATATATTATACTATGCATAAAGGTGTTAAGTAGGTCATGTTAATTTGATCTAACTTCATTTATACGAATCAAATGTTATTGTAGGTTAGGTTAGTCTAACTTATACTTTTTTCAGGTGACAATTTTCTGGCCTGACCTAGCCAATGTTGGGCCATCATGCCAAACTGACTTAATAATTTTTTTTAAAGAAAATTAAATAATTTTTATAATAAAAAATAAATTATAATATGATTAAGTAATATTATATACTATCATAAAATACTTAATAGTTTTACATGTATACAATTTCTTACAATCATTGTATTTGCATTTATTCATCCCATTAACTAGATCAACCTTTTCATAATAATTTCATACCTCATAGGTATGGGTTTAGTTTTCTTAGCTTTTTCAATATCTTGGTCTTTGTCATTAATATTCCTACTCTTACTTTTATTATGACTATGTGAGCACATGCACAAGCATAATTACGTTTTCGTCTTCTTCGACGAACGATACAAAGATGACGGGTCACGATGTTAAGTTATTAAAGACATAATGAAAACAACAAAACTCTCACACTAACTAATTATAACTCTAATTTTGTAACCACAACTCCATAAATGAGCACAAAAGAGTGAAAGATTATTATTATTATTATTATTATTATTATTATTATTATTTTGTAATACTTTACAAATTTACAAATTAACAATAATTTTGATTATTCTAATTATTATTTTAATAAGTTAGCCCATAAGCTTGCGGACCAAGTTGCTCATTTGGCCTATCAGGCTTAGCAAGTTATGCCAAAATAGTTTGATTCTATTTAGGTAATCATTTTTAAGGTTCAATTTGACCTTATTTGCGGCTGACTTGATCAAGTTCAAATCGACATCTTTGTGTGCTAGCTTTGAATTTCAATCTTTAGTTAAAAGAAAGGATAACGTATGTAATATGCATAATCTATACCTTATAAATGGGATTATTTGTGTTGGTGTATACATTATTGTTGACAATTTTAACTTTTGAAAAATTGCACAATAATAATTAATAAAGATTAGAAAACTCTTTTATTATTTGAGTTTTTTTTTTAAATCTCTTAATAATCATCAACTACCACCACAAGTGTGTATTCAAAGAAAAACACGAAATACCTTTTGTCTACTAGTATTACTTTAACAACATATTTTTGCAACATATTTAATAATAAAGAGAATAGTTCAATTTCCATGTATTGTCATGTGACATATCATATTTATTATCATTTATATGTCACATTAATAATTTACATTAATAGTCAATATGACATGCACATTAATGGTAAACATGTTACATTGGACAACTAGCAATGCCAAGTTGTCAATTAAGGACGTGACAAAACATACTAATTTTTTGAAGTTAAGATGCAAAATTTATAATATCAAAACTTGGCTGGAAAAAATTGGGAAATTGTTAAATATGGATGACAAAAGGTACATTTAAGTTATATTTATGAATATACATGAATCAATTATATGTAGAAATGATGAGAATGTTTCGAGCATTGAGTTATGTTGTGTTGATTGACTTAAGATTAGAGAAGATGTTGTTTTTATGTTGAATATCGCATTATGAGGATTTTTGTTGTGATGCTTTGAGAACCCATTTTGTTGAAAACCTTTATTGATAAGTTGATTCTTGAAGTGGATTATTGAGTCTCCTCTATGACTTTAATTGATGCAGGATAAGGGCTAGGTTGAGTCATACTGTTTATAAAGTGACCACGGTATAAAGGTCAGGTCAAACTATACTAATTATAAGTGACCAATTGTTGATCCTTATAGGGGCTAAGTTGAGCCATACATGTATAAAACAACCAAATTAGAGTAAGGTACAAGGTCAGGGGTCAAATTTCCTAACTACATACTGGAAAAGGTGTAGTATTTGAAAGATAGCTAACAGGCTAATCTCATAAGAGACTTAGTTATGCATGCTAACGCTATGGTAGGTCCACACCCAAGTTGTCCTACCTCAGTAGGAATATTATACTTTCCTAGTTTAAGTGACAAAATTCAAAACCCTATTGTTATGGATTTTCATTCCAAAATTGACTGTTAATCTAACTAGATTGAAAAAATTGTGTTGTTGTTAGTTTGATAGGGTCAAACCACTTAGATTGTTCGATTATGTTGTGTTGAAAAGTTGCAAGTTAATTTAATGTTGAAGTAACTTGAGTTGTGTATGTTGATAGTATAGTTGTACTTTACTTCTATACTTATTATGTTGTTTCATTTTGAGTACTAACTTATCCTTGCATATTTCCTTGTAGTTGCACTGTGATGATCGTACTTGATGTGAGAGTAAGACACGGATAAACTAGAGATGGAGATGTTGCAAGGTCATGCTAATGATGGTGGTGTTGACCTTTTGAACTACCCCGATATAACTTATAGTTATTGTGTTGTTTGACCAATATCTTACAATTTACTATTTTAGTAATGAGTTACTGCACATGTTTATGTGCTTGTATACTTATTATGTTATCTCAGTTGTTAAACCTTTACATGTGTATATATTATGACATGTAAATCTAGGCATTATGCATATGTCCATTTTAAGTAATTGTATTTATTCTTCTGCTACTGGTAGTTGAATTGTTAAGTATAGAGATGATAACAAATTGTTACACAATATATTTTAATTATACATAAAAAATATAATAAAATGAGATATTACAAAAATAAAATATTATAAAAAAATTGAGAATAACAATTTCATTCATATTAGGAAAAATTATAATCATTTACCTTTTTTTTATTTATTTTTATAATTGTAATATTAATATGAAATATCAATGAACAAAAACTAATTCTTCTCTCAACATTAATATGCGATTCTTTACTACTGCAGTACAATTTTTTTATTATTTTTATTTTACGTTACATCAATTACCACATTGATTATTTTTTTCTTTTTGTCTTTCACTTCAGTCCTGTAAGTATTCTTCCATGTTATATAACACAAAAAGGTGTGCACTGATACTGATATAAATAATTTAAGCTAGGTACACATATATTTTACATTAAAATACAATAAAAGATACTAATGGATAGATGTAATGGTGTGTCATTTTAAAGCGCATGCCGAGGTTGGTGATGTTTTGAAGATGTCTCTCATCATGGATCTGCACTGATTAAAGTATTCCAAAATGATGATGCTCGTTGGTCGTTGCCTTGGTGGAGAGAGTGGACTGATTATAAATTTAAAACCCCTCATTTTGACCATCGCTAACGGTGCATTTCACTATATTTGACTTCTCTGGTTATCACTACCATTCGAGTTTAATTGTAAAATGATTTTAAACAATATTATTATTATTATTTTTTTTTATAAAAAAGAACTCTCGAAAGTTGAATTTTAATTTACAATAAATAAATTTGTTGGATTTGTCTTTAGACACATAAATTCGATGAAAAATATGGTTTCAAGCATGAGCAATTCAGAGGGCCGAAAACGATTTGCCGTTTGATTTGTGGATGGAGGATCAAGATCACCTGACGAGTTTTCGGCGTTTTGTCGCTGTCGCTTCCCATGCCCCGATCCAATTCCTCACTATCCCTCTCAAGATCCATACTCAAACAATGAGCCACTGATAAAAGCGAGACATATTATATATTATATGTATATAATACAATCAACTTCTATAGATATAAACTTAATAACCGAACAGTGGTAGGGTTTATACTCGTATAAGCAAGGTCAGGAGTTCGAATCCTGTTTTATATATGCAGTCGCTTTAAATTTTAGAGTAAGCTATTTCACTACCTTTTAAGATGTCTTCAATGTGTTAAAGAGATTAGTTACTGTTATCGACGATGGATGCTCTAGGGACAATCCTAAAAAAAACTTAATAACCGAAAAAAAAATATCATACCATATTTGTATTTATTTAATAAGTTTAATAAAATGCATCAATGTTATTTTTTTTCAAGTATCAACTGAACAAAAAAATCTTCACCAAGAAAACTGAACACAAAAATGCATTTTTCCATAATCAATTTTGAATGAATGCACATTGGACAGAGGTTATTTATTCTAATTAAATTTCTAATCTTAAAAAACGGCTCCCTAATTAAGTTAAATTTAATTGAAAAAGTAATAAAGAAAAGAAAGTTTAAGTAGGTGAAAATGTGGTAGTATGAGAAGCAATCTAGCGCAACAGTGTGTGTAGACCACAGTTTACTTACTTACTGGTCTCGCGGCAACATTGTCCGAATCGGTTGCTTATGCCACACCACTCTCTCTCTTTCGTTTTAGCAAGCAAAATTTCCTCTGAACTCTAATAACTTGCGCGTGCGTGCTCTCTTCAAGCGAAGATACTCACTCACTCGCGTGTGTGAAAGATGGAGCGCAAGCAAGGCTTCTTTTCCGCGCTGAAGGACGAGGTGGTCCGCGGCCTCTCGCCGGCGCGGTCACGCGCCAAGAGCCCGGCGAGGAGCGCGTCGCCGATGTCCTCGCTGCTCCGCCGCCGGCGCAAGCAGCACGCGCCGCCGCCGGAGCTCTTGATGGCGAGATCGGGAAGCCTGCGGCCCGCGGAGGCCCTCTCGCCGCTGAAGGAAGGGCCCGACGGCACCGACGGGCAGGACTCCAGGCGCGGCGAGGGAAGGTGGGGCCACTGGATGAAAGGACCACTGGCGAGAACACCCTCCGTTTCCTCGTCCTCTTCCTCGTCCTCCTCTTGCAAGAAGTCCGATCTGAGGTTGCTCCTCGGCGTGTTGGGCGCTCCACTCGCCCCTGTCCACGTGTGCACCACCGACCCCTTCCCTCACCTCAGCATCAAAGACATCCCCATTGTAAGTCCCTCTTTTCACTCTCAGATCAACTGCACCTACCTTCACAATTTGTTTCCTTTCTCTTCAATTCCGTCAATCCTATGTTCTCTCGTTAAGATCAGTCTATGTTAGGTCACATTTTGAGTGTCACTGTTGATCTTGTGATGGTACTATGGGTGGTTTATGTTTGTTGTAGGAGACTTCTTCTGCGCAGTACATTCTGCAGCAGTACATTGCGGCTTCTGGAGGGCAGAAGCTTCAGAATTCGATTAACAATGCCTATGCCATGGGGAAGGTGAGGATGATAGCGTCCGAGTTCGAGACGGCGAACAAGGTCACGCGCAGCCGGAACTCCTCCAAGGCTGCTGAGTCTGGTGGGTTTGTCTTGTGGCAGATGAACCCCGACATGTGGTATGTGGAGCTTGCTCTTGGTGGCAGCAAGGTTCACGCCGGTTGCAATGGGAGACTCGTCTGGCGCCACACGCCCTGGCTCGGCGCCCACGCCGCCAAAGGGCCTGTTCGGCCGCTGCGTCGCGCCCTTCAGGTGACGTTTCCTGCCTTGTTACATGCATGTATGGCTGTGACTGTTGTATGCTGGAACCCTGGTTGGATAACTTTTTTCATAAGCACTTGCATGATCATAAGTAAGAAGGTAAAATACATTGAGTTTCTTCTATAAGCTAAAATCAAGTCATGCGCCAAGTGTTTGTTTGGGTAAATTTCTCCAGAACCGTTTTTAAGAGAGAAAAATTGGAGGGAAAATGAAATAAACTTGTCCATAAGCGATTATGCATAAAAGCCTGTCTGGATACAAGCTTAGAAGAGCTTTTGAGAGCTTCTCTACTGAAAATAACTTTATTTTAATATTAAACCTTTCAAAAACACTTATGGCTTATATCCAAACAAACTTACTTTAAAAAAAAATGTATTTTGAGAAAGCTAATAGAAGGGAGCTTCTATGCATAAGTTAATTTAGCTAAGGGAATTTATTTCTTTTTTTATTCCTACTTTTCTCTCTTAGAAGTATTTCTAGAGAAGTTTATCCAAACAGGTTCCAAGTTAGAAGACTGATTGAACTTTTATGCAAGTTCAGTGAATAAATTGATTTTAACTTATGTGAAGAAAATTCATTACCTTTTTAGTTTCTTTTGCATGTATTTATGGAGAAATTTATGTTAAGCAGGACTTAGGCTTTTGCTATGTTTCTGACTCCTTTTGTCTTAACAGGGTCTTGACCCAAGAACAACTGCTAGCATGTTTATCAATGCAAGATGCATTGGGGAGAAGAAGATAAATGAAGAGGACTGTTTCATCCTCAAGCTTTGTGCAGACCCCTCAACGTTGAAAGCCAGGAGTGAAGGTCCAGCAGAGATCATAAGGCATGTTCTGTTTGGGTACTTTAGCCAGAAAACGGGGCTTCTTGTTCACTTGGAGGACTCCCATTTGACCCGCATTCAGAACAACGGTGGTGATGCAGTATATTGGGAGACCACAATAAATTCGTTTCTCGATGATTACAGACCTGTTGAGGGGATAATGATTGCTCACTCAGGTCGTTCTGTAGTGACGCTTTTCAGGTTTGGGGAAACGGCAATGAGCCACACTAAAACAAGGATGGAAGAGGCTTGGACGATTGAGGAGGTTGCATTCAATGTTCCTGGCCTTTCTTTGGACTGTTTCATTCCTCCATCTGAGTTAAGGTTTGCTTCTATGAGTGAAGCCTGTGAGCTTCCTCAAGGTCAGAGGGTGAAGACTGCTGTGGCAGCAGCTGCATACCAAGCCAAAGTTGCTCAACTACAAAAATCCCATGAAAGCAGCACGAATAACATTAACTGGACAGTGGATGTTTAGCTAAGAGGAAGTTTCTGGATTAGGCCTAGGCGTCTAGTTTTTATACCTTTTGTGGACTATCTGACAAATTACTGCAGGTAAATGGTAAGATTGCAGCAGGGTTGTCAAGAGTTTTCTGCTGTGGGTCATTGCCTCGTCAAATCTGTAAATAGAAATGATCAGTCATGGATCCTGAAAAGTGAATTTCTATACTCTGGGTTTTTGGTGGATGATTATATGCATCAAGGTTTGTTTTTCCCACTTGCTTTCCATAAGTGTGTGAAATTGGGAATCTGCTGATCATTTTATAATCTATAATTCCTGTAGAGTTTTTTTTTTCCTGTGAAAGCATCAACACTATGCTTGGAGATCACAGTTATAACCTCGATTTCGCTTCGTAACTGAAAAGTTTTGGCTTTGAGTTTCAATGGCCAGCACTTTGTCAGATATAAATATTGATATTGCTGGTGGTATCCGTATTCCGTAAGGAAATTTCTTCCATCTTTGAAGGAAATTAGGATTCAAGAACTTGTGTTTATTGCTGGTTTTTATTATGAATTGTAAACCAACTAGCCAGAGTAAGTAGTAGCTAAATTATTCCTAGGTCTATGAGTTTTATGCTTTTAAGGACACATATATGTTGAATATGGTGTGGCAAATTTATGTGTGGCAAATAATCTTTTGCTTAAATACCATATATAAGATACTCATTTTTTTTGTCTTGCATAAGATATACTAAATGTAATGACCCGACAAGTCTCTACACTTCAAATCTCAACAAATTAGGTAGTAGAAAACATAAATTTAATTGCCCAGGATTAACATGAAAATGGTCTTTTGGATATACATGCAACAATAAGTACATGTATAAAAGTCATCTACTGTAGACATGAAAGTAAATCTGTCAATGAAACTACAACTATAAATTATACATATACATATACATATATATAATAATTCATACCGAAAACATAGATCTAAGTTGTCGGTCAAGTAACTACTATAAGTCAACTACATAAGAGTATTCTAAAACAACATCTCCATCCTCTAGTATGGCTCTCAAACATGCTCATCCTCTAACATATTCCTAACAAGTATGATCATCGCAATCCAACCACAAGGAACAAACAAAAGTAAACTTGGATTCAAGAGACAACATAGTATAAAATATTAAACTAACTATTCAACAACTTCGACATACAACATACACTTACAACTCAACAACATATCCAACTTGATCCATAAACCACACAAGTTACCATCATACCAACTTAGTATATTAATAATACAACTTTTCAACACAACTTGTGATCAATAGTACAATAGTTCATAACCTAACTATTTAAGAATAGAACAACTTAAAAAAATATTACAACATAGCAACACATGTCAACTTCACAACAAATCAACACAACAACATGATGTGTTGTCACACATTTCAATTAAGAAATCTCTTACAACACATGTGAGAAGTTTAAGTAACTTGACCCTACCAAACAAACTTAACAATGCAATCTTTTTGGGTTTGCTAGATCAATAACAAATTTGTCTATAGCACAACATGGTTTCTTGAATTTTACCACTCAAACTAGGAAAGTCTATTATTCTTGTTAGGGATAGGCTAACTTCGGTGTGAGTTTACCATGACCTTAGCACATGCATAACTAAGCCTATATATAATTAGTCTAACGACTACCCTCTAAATACTATACTTTTTCCAGTACTTAGTTAGGGATTTTGGCCCTCGACTTCGTACCTTACTTGATTGGTCGCTTCATATACGTATGGCTTGACCTTGTCCCAACCATTCTACATTGGTCAGTTATAATTAATATAGCCTGACCTAGCTCCCATATTGTATCAACTAAAGACCTAGAGGAGACTCAACACTCTTCTTCAAAATATAACTACTAAAGAAGGGTTTTCAACAACTAGGCTCATAAAGTACCCAACACCATATCGTCACAATGAGATATTCATCTTTTTAAAACAATACATTTCCTCTAGTTCTAAGTCAATCAACATAGTTCAACTACATACTTCAAGCATTCACAACACAACTACCTTCAACATTACACTTCATTCAACTTTACTAAAATTCACCTTCCATTCATAATCAACTTACAACATTAAGCAACTTAAACATCATTATATATCACTCCAAATCAATGCATAATGAACTCAAATATATCAACATAATTCATGTGAATAACTCAATCTACTTGTCACATGTTCAATACTTAATCAACTAAACAATGATATTTCATTCAACACTCCATGCTCGACGCTAATCTTCCAACGTCCAATGTCATTGAGGTAGAAAGCCTCTAGTTTGTCCACGACTATTGCCAATTCACCTACATCCAACATTGATAAGGTTGAGAGCCCCTATAAAAACCACACCTGGTAAGGCTACTCTTACACCCGACCTCATTCAAGAAGAAAACCTTTATCTGATTCATGTCTGATGCCACAAAATTTGCACCTAACATTATCCAAGTAGAGAGTTATTGTTAATCACACCCAACGTTACTCAACGTGGGTCCAATGTCACCAAATTAGAGATTTCTATGGGTAATCATGTTTGACACCATTCAACCCACATTTTGCATTAACAAGTTAGAGAGCTCTCACTAACTATGTGAGCGATGTCTATTAAAAGAAAGTGCTATCAAATGACATTAAATAGACAGTGCTTCCCGAACTAAGCGCTATGTATGTCAGATTCAATATAAGGCATTTTACTCGTCAAGTGTTGTGTATGTCATCTCCAATAGACAATGCTTTCTATAAAAAAATGCTTTCTATTTACCCTCCAATAGATGGCACATTCTAGAATAAGTGTTCTTTGTATATGTGTCCAATAAATAACACTTTCTAACACAAGTGCTCTGTATTGATTTAATTTTTTTTAAAACTATTTTATTTAATTTTTTAGTCTATTCACATTTTTGTGTGTTATATAAGCAAAAATAATCCAAGATAGATAGTTATAACAATCAGTCAAGAATCTAACCAAATGTGATTCATAAAAGATATGCATGCTAACTAGGTTGTCTTGCATAAGATATACTAAATGTAATGACCCGACAAGTCTCTACACTTCAAATCTCAACAAATTAGGTAGTAGAAAACATAAATTTAATTGCCCAGGATTAACATGAAAATGGTCTTTTGGATATACATGCAACAATAAGTACATGTATAAAAGTCATCTACTGTAGACATGAAAGTAAATCTGTCAATGAAACTACAACTATAAATTATACATATACATATACATATATATAATAATTCATACCGAAAACATAGATCTAAGTTGTCGGTCAAGTAACTACTATAAGTCAACTACATAAGAGTATTCTAAAACAACATCTCCATCCTCTAGTATGGCTCTCAAACATGCTCATCCTCTAACATATTCCTAACAAGTATGATCATCGCAATCCAACCACAAGGAACAAACAAAAGTAAACTTGGATTCAAGAGACAACATAGTATAAAATATTAAACTAACTATTCAACAACTTCGACATACAACATACACTTACAACTCAACAACATATCCAACTTGATCCATAAACCACACAAGTTACCATCATACCAACTTAGTATATTAATAATACAACTTTTCAACACAACTTGTGATCAATAGTACAATAGTTCATAACCTAACTATTTAAGAATAGAACAACTTAAAAAAATATTACAACATAGCAACACATGTCAACTTCACAACAAATCAACACAACAACATGATGTGTTGTCACACATTTCAATTAAGAAATCTCTTACAACACATGTGAGAAGTTTAAGTAACTTGACCCTACCAAACAAACTTAACAATGCAATCTTTTTGGGTTTGCTAGATCAATAACAAATTTGTCTATAGCACAACATGGTTTCTTGAATTTTACCACTCAAACTAGGAAAGTCTATTATTCTTGTTAGGGATAGGCTAACTTCGGTGTGAGTTTACCATGACCTTAGCACATGCATAACTAAGCCTATATATAATTAGTCTAACGACTACCCTCTAAATACTATACTTTTTCCAGTACTTAGTTAGGGATTTTGGCCCTCGACTTCGTACCTTACTTGATTGGTCGCTTCATATACGTATGGCTTGACCTTGTCCCAACCATTCTACATTGGTCAGTTATAATTAATATAGCCTGACCTAGCTCCCATATTGTATCAACTAAAGACCTAGAGGAGACTCAACACTCTTCTTCAAAATATAACTACTAAAGAAGGGTTTTCAACAACTAGGCTCATAAAGTACCCAACACCATATCGTCACAATGAGATATTCATCTTTTTAAAACAATACATTTCCTCTAGTTCTAAGTCAATCAACATAGTTCAACTACATACTTCAAGCATTCACAACACAACTACCTTCAACATTACACTTCATTCAACTTTACTAAAATTCACCTTCCATTCATAATCAACTTACAACATTAAGCAACTTAAACATCATTATATATCACTCCAAATCAATGCATAATGAACTCAAATATATCAACATAATTCATGTGAATAACTCAATCTACTTGTCACATGTTCAATACTTAATCAACTAAACAATGATATTTCATTCAACACTCCATGCTCGACGCTAATCTTCCAACGTCCAATGTCATTGAGGTAGAAAGCCTCTAGTTTGTCCACGACTATTGCCAATTCACCTACATCCAACATTGATAAGGTTGAGAGCCCCTATAAAAACCACACCTGGTAAGGCTACTCTTACACCCGACCTCATTCAAGAAGAAAACCTTTATCTGATTCATGTCTGATGCCACAAAATTTGCACCTAACATTATCCAAGTAGAGAGTTATTGTTAATCACACCCAACGTTACTCAACGTGGGTCCAATGTCACCAAATTAGAGATTTCTATGGGTAATCATGTTTGACACCATTCAACCCACATTTTGCATTAACAAGTTAGAGAGCTCTCACTAACTATGTGAGCGATGTCTATTAAAAGAAAGTGCTATCAAATGACATTAAATAGACAGTGCTTCCCGAACTAAGCGCTATGTATGTCAGATTCAATATAAGGCATTTTACTCGTCAAGTGTTGTGTATGTCATCTCCAATAGACAATGCTTTCTATAAAAAAATGCTTTCTATTTACCCTCCAATAGATGGCACATTCTAGAATAAGTGTTCTTTGTATATGTGTCCAATAAATAACACTTTCTAACACAAGTGCTCTGTATTGATTTAATTTTTTTTAAAACTATTTTATTTAATTTTTTAGTCTATTCACATTTTTGTGTGTTATATAAGCAAAAATAATCCAAGATAGATAGTTATAACAATCAGTCAAGAATCTAACCAAATGTGATTCATAAAAGATATGCATGCTAACTAGGCAATTATTTCCTTTTACAAAACAAATAAAGGAAAACACAAAGAAAATTAAAAGAAAGTAAACAAGAAACAATAAAGGAATACTTATACAAAAAAGGCCTAGTAGCTAATTTCAAATCAAGTATCTAAACCAAAAATAGGCCCATGTAGCCAAGTAGCCAACTAATATCAAGCCATAAATCAGCAACAAAACATCAAGACAAGTTTCAAAACCA